ATATCGAAAAATATTCAATCTAATTGAACAATATCCCAATTTAAAGAAAAATGGTAAATATTATTTCAGTTTTAACTTGACAAGGAGGGGGCATGACTACTAAAATGAATAAATAAAATAAGTGATATTTGATACAAGGTTAATTATATTATAAAAATTAATAATTGTTCAAATTTTATATTTATTTTCTTGGCACGGATGGCCCAGAATTTGCTATTAAAAACTTAAAAACTAATTGTTCCAGGTCAATTATTAAATAGAAATAAAGGGTCATCGATGATTAATGAAAAAAAAATTTTTCAAAAATGACCTGGTAAATTTATGGAAGGAAAGGGATGACAAATACCTGTTTCACATTGCCATACGGAATTAGGCCGAAGCTTGACTCTCCTAAGCACACCGTCCCATGTATAAAACAAATTACTTTTATTTGAATAAATATCAAATTTACCTGAACAATATCATAATTTAAAGAAAAATGGTTAATTTTGTTATAGTTTTACCTTGAAACGGATGGTGCACTTCTACTGAAATAAATAGAAAAAATAAATGATATTCGAGAAAAAGTATATTATCTTACTAACATTATTGTTTAAACATACACACATTGCCTTGGCACGGGTGCCTCCGAATTATTTACTAAGTACAACACAATTGTCAATACTAGGTTGATAATTTGATAAAAATAAAACTGTAATGACAATAAAAGGACAAAAAATACACCGCTTACATTTTCATAATGAGTTAAGGTATATTTGTCCGTGACCAGCGAATCTTGCGACGTATATAAATTTTTTGTAAGATTTTATACACGGAAAAAATGAAACACGACTGGTTCGTTTTCGGCACGAGACTCAGTCCTGTGCAAGAAAAAATGGAAGAAAAATTAGTTTACACCAGACTGAGTCGTGTGCGCACCCGAATGAGTCTAGGCAGCACAGGACTGAGACCTGTACTGCCTAGACTCAGTCCTGTGTTGCCTAGACTCATTCGGGTGCGCACACGACTCAGTCTGGTGTAAACTAATTTTTCTTCCATTTTTTCTTGCACAGGACTGAGTCTCGTGCCGAAAACGAACCAGTCGTGTTTCATTTTTTCCGTGTATAAGGACAGTACTTGTATGGTAAAAAAGGATAGTAATTTTCGGAATCTTACTCAACAAGGATAACACGGCATTAGAGCAAATAACAAAATTTGTATAAGTCATGATATAATTTTATTATTTTAATTTCTTAATAATTTATAACTTTTAAATTCTTTTAAAAAACTACAAATTATGAAAATCTGTTTTTGCATTTATATAGAAATCAAAAAGCACTGTTAATAATTATTTTTTGGCGTTAAGTAAGAGCTGAAGATGTAAAAATGCAAACTTAGCGAAATATTGTTTTTTCTGGTCCAAATCAAAATTAACAAGTTTTTTTATATTGAATTTGTCTACTTTAGACAAATGGTGTAATTGAATTACTTTCTTTTGAAGTAATACTGCATCTTTCTCCACTTTCGAACCTAACTTGTCCAAAAATATCAAAAATTTGATATATTCTGGATCAGTTAGGTCTCCAATGTTAACTTTATTAAGCAGAACAACAGCTTCTCGAATGTTTAAATTCTCGGCAGTCTTAGTGTTAGTTGTTTTTCCTTCGGGAGACTTTTTTTTTTTTCTTCCATAATTCGGTTGGACGTCTTTGCCGCCTTTGCCATCGCTTTTTGAAGCTTCATAGCTTTTTCAAGCAAAATGGTTCTTTGCTTGGATGATCCATTTCTACCGGCAATCTGTAATAACGAGATTTAGAAAAATATAAATTTTCGAGTATAAATAGTTGTGTGTAAGTTGTTAACAAATTAATAACGAGGAATTTTTTTTTTTTTTAATAATAATGCTTTTCATCATCAAGAATATATATATAACCAAACAGTGACGTTGTGTAATTTTCATTAAAACTAATTGAATTGTGACTTTTTTTTACTAAATTCTTAATTACGTGCCATTGGAGGATGATTGTGTCGTAAATTACTTTCATCCACTTGCAAGCTATGTTTTCGAGGCGAAGTGCTCACAAAAAGTTTCGCCGGACATGTTTCCCTGCAAAAGTCGATCATTAACAATAAATTTGATACGTATCAATTAGTACTAATACGTCAAAAAGTTTTAAATTTTTTGTTGACAATCAAGCAACTAATTCAAATAATATAACCTATATAAATGATTATTATATACTTACGCTGATTCAAGCTCACGTTGTTCGCGTGTAGAGCATTTAAATTTAATGCGGTCATAGATCAAAAGCGGATTGAAATCCACATTAGACCTATTTTTGTAGACCTTATATAGTGATTCACTTGAGTGAACATTAAATTTATTTGCAGTTTTCTCTTGGTATGCATTTAACCAATGATCCAACTTCGCGTAGGAGGAAAATTTTTTCGGTATACTAACCACATTGGGATCCATGTTATTATTGTTATTATTTAAAATAAAACAAAAATATTTATCAAAAATTGAATTTTTGCAATTAATACGATTAAATGGCTTTCAAAATGAGGCTACGAGGTTCTTGGTTGACCAAGCGTAAGACGAAAGAATTTGGATTGTGACACTTGTGACACCAGAGCATAATAGGTTTTTAACCTAACATCTACGCTAAAGAGAGCGCCAATATTAAAATAATTACAATACAGCGATAACTTAAGATATTACAATATTTGTGTATTCGACATAAATACTGTAAATTGTTATCAATAATTAAATAAAATTTCTAAAGAATAAAATTACTAAACTTTAACTTCACGAATATAGGGACCGAGCACTAACTGTAGAGGCAGCACATCAGTCAGAAGTGGCGCACCCTGGTGTTTCATTTTAAGAAGTACAGATAACGATAATTTCTGATAGTATCCGCAGGTTACTACAGGAAAGTTGCGAAGAAATTGACGAAAATAAATTATTATTGAAAACTATTTTTTCCTAACTTTCCAAAAAACAAACATTAATAAATCAAAACAAAACTCTGGTCAAAACTTTAAAAAAAATCCTTAGCACGGATGGCACGAAATAATTTGTAATAAATGAAATATTGTTGGTACTTGGCTAAATATTTATTGGAAATTGTGAAGCTTGTGAATTATTCACGTGTAATATTGACGTTTCCATTACATGGATTTATTTACAATAAATCTAATATTATTTTGATCTGGCCACGTAATTATCAAAAAAAAAAGTCTGGTAAGTAATTCTTTGGAAAAGCCTTGCCATGTAAGAATTCTTGATAAATGAGATATTATTGGTACCTGGACGGATGGCACGGAATTGTTATTAATATTTATTAAAAAGTTAATACTTAATGGCAAAAAAGATATCCACTCTAACTAATTTTTCTTATCGAGATATGTTGTTATTGTTGTGTTATAATATTTGTAAATAAATGAATTGAATATATTGAAAAAATTTTTTATTTTTTTTATTTTATTAATTGTTTTCCGACATATATATTAATATTGGACTGTGTTTCAACGTATAATATTTCAGGATTAATTTCAACTTACAGCTTTTCATGATTCAACCAACCAATGGTAAAATAAATTCCGCTTTTCTTCGATAACTGAAATCAATTGTCTCCTTATAACAATAACTTTGTTATTCATAAATTATAATTTCTAAGTCTACATATTTTCTAAACCTCTGAAGAGAGTGAATTACACAATAAAATTAATATTTAATTTGAAAAAACAAATTGTTAATCTAATTTAAAGTCTAATAATTAATCTCAAACGGATACACTGATTTCGACTTGGCTGTTTGTCACTTGTAACCGTTTACATTGCTAGAAATTTATATTGTGCATGTATATTTAGTTTTAATCCAATAAATATTTAGGTTTTTCTTTATTTAATTAAAAAAGAATGAAAACAAAAAAAAAAAGGTTACTTCGACTAAACCTAGAAAAGAAAATGTCAAATGGCATTATGGAGGTTTTGCTTATCGCGTCGTCAAAAGAACGATGAGAAATAGCAAAATGTAAGTATAATAATTTATGATGTACGCTTTTTTCGTACTTTGTGACATTACGTCAATTTTGTGGTTGTTATTTTTTCTAATATTGTAATATTATCTTTATCAGTTGTCACGAGTATTTTAGTTAGATCTTTTCTGTTTTATGTAAAAAATTTTTTCATTTTACTTGATTTTTTTTTTCATTACTTTTTAGACACCTTTATTGCATACAGAAAAATTGCCCAGCGCATGGATATTTTTACTGTGCAAACAAACATTTTGAAGCAGCAGTCAAAAAGCACACTCATGACGAAGATCCAAAGTTGGAAAAAATAGATAAATTTTTTGCAACAGTAGAACAGCTTAGCCAAGTTCCAGGGGTTACACCTAGAAACGTACACCGTTCTGCTAAGTTAATGTAATAGAAGTTTAACATATCTATTCATGTTAAGCATTTTTAAATGAAATTATTTTGAGATTATAACTTTCCATTATAATTTTCAATTTCCGTATACTAATCCTCTTGCATGCAATTTTTGCCACTACGTTTTACCTTTTTTTAATTGTAAAATATTCTGAAAAGTGTAAAAAGGTAACTAACACTAATTTCATTACTTTTTCATTGTAATTTTTATAATTTTACAGCGAAATTTTATAGCCTTACAGAGAAATTAACTGAACATTTTAAAAATCTTAAAATGTATATCTACTAAAAAAGAGAATATACACAAGTGGAAAAAATGAATGGATTAAAAGAAATATATTAATTTTCGGTTCTTTTTCAAATTGCTGTACCATTGATAAAAGTAGTCATATGAGTAAATTACCGAAAATTTTGATCTTCTTTTTGTTTAATTTTTTCCATTTGTGTATATTAATGATTATCCTTAAATTAAAAAATAGCCATCCTGATATATCGGTGCCATTTAATGAAACAAACCGTCGCCGGATCCAGCGCATTATACAAAAAAGAAATCCTCAACGGTTAAATGTTAGTTTTAAAGCTCACACGCTGCAAGATTTGAAAAACTTCCTTGTGACATCAAAAGCTACAGCGAGCTTGAAGTATAACAGTAGTACTACGGACTGTGTTTTGAGCACCGGCATTGACACCTTTGATATACGCGATAGCAAAAAAAAAAAAATTGTAACTGCTACAAACATATATTTTTATGATAAAGAGTTTGTAGAACTGTTATGCCCTTTTACTGGGGTAATATTGATTGATGCGACATTCGACGCTGTTCCACATGTTAAGGACAACTCAAATATGCAGTTTTTGAGTATTTTGGCCAAGATCACTTTCAATGGTCATTCAAAGGTAAGTGGTTCTTTTTTTTTTTATCCCAAGACAATTTCCAAGAAAATTTGATCCCAAGCCAATTTCTTGGCGTAATATTTAAGGTAGTTTGTTCCATTTAAAATTAGAAAAACGGTAGATGAGATAACTTCTCTATGCTTTTAAGCTCTTCGAGCTCAAAAGTCTGATGGGAGTTTGATAAAACACTATTTATCAAATTTTCAAACTGCAATAACTGCTTTTTTCTAGGCTTTTCCAGTTTTCTGGGTAATTATGTCTAACAAGGCCGAAGAGTGTTATTTAAAAGCATTCAACTACTTTGCTAGTCAATTCCCAACATTTCAGCCGACCACCTGCTTAACAGATCACGAATTGGCTATGAGGAACGCTGTAAAGAAAATATACCCGGATATAATAAACCGGACATGTTATTTTCATTACAGCCAAGTGAGTTACATTATATTCAAATACTTAGTCAACCATACACGTAACTAGTAATGATACCAGCACAAAAAAAAATTTTTAAAATGTTTTGCCTTAAAAGTAAATTAAAAAAAAAGAAAAATTTTTTATAAAATAGTATTAATGCGGTTCTCAGATTAATTCAGATAAATTTTTCCAAACTTTGAGGAAGTCCATGCCTGATCAGACCTGTTCATGTCTGAAGTGTTAAATACGCTGAGGCTTGAGCAGGCCTGTCCATGTCTGATCAGACCTGTCCATGCCTGTTCATATCTGTTCATGTCTGAAGGGTTAAATACGCTCAGGCCTGATCAGATCAGTACATGCCTGCCACGTTCAAATACAAATAGGTTCATACTTTTCATCATTAGTACAGATCACTTTTTTTCTTAGTCTGTCGGTATGATTAAGTTTGATCAATTATCTGTGTACATATCGTAATGTTGAGTTTTAATTACTTTTGCAGGCTCTGATCAAGAATGCTAAGGAAAAGAAAGTCATAACTTCGAATAGTAGTACTTATTCAAATCCGGAATTATTCTACGTTATAAATCTATTGAAGTATTTGGCTTTTCTTCCAGCACATTGTATCAATGTCACTTATGAAGCTGTTAAAGAAGAGGCGAAAAATTATTTTGAAGATTTGTTTAACGACTTCTTTGAGTATTATGAGGATCAATGGTTAAAAAAAGAAGGTCCTAAACAATTTTCAGTTTTCGACCGACTGGAAGACCGCACAACTAACATTGTAGAGTCATATCACAGTCAACTGAATGCATTGACGGTAAAACATCCAGACTCGAACAAATTCTTAGGTAAGAATCAATAGTATTTTACGTACCTAGGCCAGTAAAGTAAGAAATGTCTCAGATCACATGTAATTGTAGGCCGATATGAAGCCGAGGTTGACATATATGTGATCTGAGACTTTTCTTATTTTACTGGCCTAGGTATGTAATATAATATATTTATATTTAAGATTTAATATTTATATTCCACTCTACACATAAAGGAAAAATTAAATTCAGGCTGAGTATTTATTATAATTTAAACCAAAGCATCTCGCGATTGTACAAGCAAAGTAGTTTTTGCACAGCATTTTATTACGCGAAGTCGTAGAGTTTGTACTTTACTCTAAATAAATAGTTTCCTTAAAAATTGAATGAGCACTATCAAGCGTGTACTTTAGTATTTGCAAAGTATTTTTCAATTTTTCGAACAGCGGTAACAATTAAATCAGCTACATGAAAAATTGGCGGTAAGTTTTTAAAGAACATCCATCGTTCAGTCAATATTTTTTTTTCCATGTATGTAAAATTTATTAAGAAATGGGGGTTTATAAGCCAACATTGAAATTGCTTTTTATTTTATATGTATGATTACGATAATATTTTTACGAACTCGATTTGATCTATTTATATATAAAAGTGATAATTATATTTAGTACATCTAAAAACATTTGATTAAATGTTTTTAGAAATATAGTAGGATTCTTTTTCTAACTACCTGAGTTTTCAGCTTTTTACGTTTTTCAAAAAACTAAATTCGTGTACTTTTGAAGTTCCTTATCGATAGCGGTCTATACTTTACTAAGTTTTCTGCACTCGTTTTCTGAGTATTATATATTTATCATTATAAAAACTTTGACTTTTAAAATTGCACACTATTCCGGTTTGAAATAAAATCGTTTAATATTTCTTTCTGTTAATGTTATTTTAATTTGAAATTCCATGAACTACAGTTATAAAATATAATTTATTATTGTGATATCGTCCATTATTAATACCATAAAAACATTTATAAACAATTCCGTAACAAAAAATGAGTTGACAGTTTAATTTGTTTATTACAATCGACGTTTGATGATCTATGTGTTCCATCAAAAGTTACATTCCCTTGATTAATTAATTAGTTTTTCTCATCTATATTTTTTAACACAGCAAAAAAATCGACGAACAAACAAACGATATTTATTTAGTGACTACAACCCTTATCAAATTAGTAGAGCAACTCGAATCCGTCATAAAAAGAAAATAAAAGAGCTTCAACAGCAAAATTTAGATTCAGGTAACATATACAATTAGTCTACGGCGGAAAAAAAGCTTCTATGCATCTCTTCGTTATCTTCTTATGGATAAAACATATCTATGATTTTGTTTTATTTACAGAAAAAAATTCTCGTAACATTTTTGAAGCAAAAAATAAAATTTTAGCAACAGAGACATTAATACATCATCAGATAGATGTCCCTGAATCATCTATCAGCACTAGTTCTGTCGCATTAAAATTGTACGATAATTCTAAAGAAGAAAGTTTTGGCATAAATTGTAGTACTTGTTTCGAAGACTCAGTTCATAATACTACAGGAAATATTACTGATTATATGGATTATGAAGTGCAACAATCTATAAACAATCAATATGAAGTTTCATCCCACTACAATGATAATGATAATAATTCAGGTGAAGAATTATGTTTGGAAAAAGATGGTAGCTTTGATTCAGATGGTAACTCAGATTCAGATGGTACTTCAGATTCAGATGGTAGCTCAGATTCAGATAGTAGCTCAGATTCAGATGGTAGCTCAGGTTCAGATGGTAGCTCAAATTCAGCTGAAGAATTACATTCTGAAAGTGATGGTAGCTCAAATGAGAATGATTCGTTTACAGAAACGGATTCGGATGATTCATCGATTAATGATTCATCACGATTTAATTGTGATTCAATGAATGGTAACACAATCATGTTCCCGCAGTCGAATGTTACTGTATCTGATGTATTATTAATGGTTACTGCATTTGCTGTTTCTAAACATTTGACAAGGAACGATCAAGATGATTTGATAAATTTAATCAAACTTTTAGCTGGCCCAAACTTTGAATCTTGGAAGGCTACTGATTATTCACGATCAAAAGCATTTAATCCTCCAAGAGACAAAATGCGATTAAATTATTGCTGTGAAACAAAAAAATGTCAACGTATATTACATACACAAAAATTATCTAATAAAAAAAAAAAGAAAATAAAAGTTAAATGCAGCCACTGTAAAGCAAAATATAAGCTTTCATCAGCAAGTAAGAATCAATTTATAATGATTGATTTAAAATATCAATTAAAATTATTACTTAAGGACTCGGAAATAAAAGATGACTTATTGAATAATATTGAAAAATTAAAACAACCTCAGAATGATGCATTGATTCGTGATGTATATGACGGTCGATTGTATAAAGTTGTACAAGAAATGTCACCGGGTGCATTGACTTATAATGTCAATACAGATGGGGCACCACTGACAAAGAGCTCCAAACGAAGTATGTGGCCAATACAACTATATATAAATGAATTATCACCAGCATTGCGATTTCGTAATGTGATTCTTGGTGGTCTATACATAACATCAGCAGAACCATCTCCACAATTAATGCAAACTTATATGTCTGAATTTATAAAAAATGCTAATAAGATTATGAAAAAAGGTATAAATATTATTGATAATATCGGCAATAGAAGAAATTTGAAATTTTTCTCTTTTGTTATGTGTGGACTCTGTTGCAATACCTGTTATTCAGAATCGGTTTCAATTCAACGGATATTCGGGATGTAGCTGGTGTTATGCTAATGGACTTTATGATAGTTCAGCGGTTAGGTATCCAATCACAGAACAACATCCTGTACTACGGACAAAACAGAGTCACAAGAAAGATGTCGAAGATGTTAAAAAATTGGGAAAGCCGATAAATGGTGTTAAAGGTGATTGTGCAATGCAACAATTAGAACATTTTGATTGTGTTTGGGGTTTTCCTATTGACTATATGCACGGCGTTCTGTTGGGTGTATCACGACAATTGTGGGCAGTGTGGACAAAGCCAGGAACAGAATATTATTTGAAGCCGCAGCAACGAAAAGAAATTGCTGCTCGTCAGCTAAAGATTGAGAGACCTCAAGAAATTCATAGACTGGTTCGAACGGTTGATCATGAAGCCAAATGGAAAGCCTCGGAATGGGAATCGTGGCTATTATTCGATAGCATTCCGTGCCTAGCCGGTATTCTCGACGAAAAATGTTTTCAATCTTATATTTTGTTAGTTTCAAGCATCTATATGTTGATGACTGATAACATAACTGAAAGAGATCTCATAATCTGTGAAATAAACATACTCCAATTTGTACGAGATTGTCAAATTCTTTACGGTGTTCGTTCAATCACGTTTAATTTACACTCATTGCTGCACATTGTAGAATCTGTCCGGCAAAGTGGGCCATTGTGGGCAAGTTCAGCTTTTCCATTTGAAAGCATGATTTTTCTCATCAAGCGTTGCATTACAGGAGTCAGTGGAGTATCAAACCAAATAATTAATTCAGTGCTTAAAGAGAAAAATATTCGATGCAATATCGATCACAATACTGAGTCCATTAAATGTCGTAATTATTGTAAAGATTTGTTTAAGCCACAGCGACTGAAGAATTGTACACGAAGTAATGATAATGTCATTCTTATCGGCAGTACTAAATCACCAAGTGATCAACTACTTCAATTGATAAGCCAAAACTTTAACACTGCTCTTTCTGTAGAAGTTTTTGACAGATGTATTTTTAATCAGATGGTACTTCGCAGTATAGCTTATATTCGTCCCAAAAAAACGAATGACACAGTTGTCCAGCTTCGTACAAAAGAATTCATACAAATTCATGGTTTCTTTACTGTGAACAATATCTGTTATCTTTACGGTAACCAAATATCAACTGTTCCAATCATTTCTCTGCCAAATGTTCAATTATGTCATATTCTAAAAGTAACGAACATGGATAAAGACAGTATAATCATCGATAATCAATCCATAGAAAAAAAAGTTATTTTTTTTTCAACCGGAATCGATTATTACATCTGTTTATTCCCTAAAAGTTTAGGGCGATAGATTAATTATTTGATCTGCTTGCTATACATATCTTATTATAAAAATATGTAAATTGTAAATATGTAAATTGTAGGAAATCCTGCTATTCATTGTATAAAATTAGAAATATTTTTTTTAATCAATGATAAGCAATGCATAATAATAGTGGTAAAAATATTTTCAAATGATTGTATTTGTCGACTCAACCAACATTCGTGTATTTGATTTACTTCAATGCTTTTACAGATTATTGATAATAAGACTGGAAATCATGACAGTGATAGCAAAGAAAATTTAAAACCGATTACGAATGCAGATAATCAGAATGATGATAATCTTTCAAAAATCATCACTTCTCCGAAAATAGAACCGGCGACAATGAAGTTTGATTCATCTTTAGCAAAAACTGAAACTGTAGAAGGAAAGAAATCAAAAAAAAGCAAGGTTAGTCAAATTTATTTTGTTATAAATTATATAATTGTATTTTAATCCTATGTTAATTAAACAAAATAAGTATAACAACTTGAATTATAGGAAAACATTAGTTGGTAAGAAAAAAATGTTGAAATGCATTACATATATTATGTTACAGAAAAGAAAAGGTGATACAGATTTATCGACAGAGACTAAATCCAAGAAGAAAAAATTTCGAAAGAGCATGATTGACAAAAAATTGCGGCAGGTAAAAGTTACAGTTATGTATTTAATTATTAATTGAAACATTATTAAAATATTCAATAACATAACTAAAGATCGTAATCAAGTATTTTCTAATAAATATTTCTAAGAGTTGGGTTAGCAAGTTATTAATTAACAATAATATGTTACTTGCTTAAAAGTAAATGATTTTAGGATATTCTGCGTCTATATTTTATAAAAGTAGATTTATATGCAGAAGTTCAAAACAATCTAATAAAAGTTTTCATTATTTTTTTTTTGCTCAGGATAAATCAGTTTCTAGTAAAACGAAAAAAAAAACGAGTGAAAAGACTTCGACTATCAGTCACGCCAATCATGGAAATGACAGTAAACAAGGATCAGATGTAAGTATGATTAAAAATAATTTTAAAAGTTATAACAATTATTAAAAATATATTTCATTATAGTAACTAACATTTTTTGAATAATTTAATTTTAATATGCATGTCTTTTATCATAAGAAGAATGTAGTTTGCTGACATTTAAATTCAATTTAAAAAAACTAAATTAGCTAAATTTTTATTAATATTTTTAGGAAAAACCGAATCATTCTAATGAAACTGAAGGAATGAAACTCGAACATAATGATGAACCGACAGAAATTGCGGAAGTTGGTATGCTAAATTTTTCGCAGGACAAGGATCAGACTGAAAATGAATCTGAAGAGAATACAAAGAAGATTGTCCATGAAAATTCCAGTCAACAGCAATCGAAAGTGAGTATTTCAATTGTAAATAAAAATATCAATTAGTTGTTTGAAATATAAAAACCAATATTTCCAAGTTTTTAACATTTGTAAACAGCAGAAACTTCAATTAATATCTTTTCAGACTATGTATACTTGAAATTTTTTTCTAAATTATAATTATATTCTTATATACTATTTTAGAATGAAGATGGCACACCACAAACAATTGATGAAACAGCCGATTATAATACAAATTTATTGAATGACATCAACAAATATTTGAATGACCCACCAACAGTCAAGGTTGTTGATAGAGGAAATATTCAGCAGCAATATGACGTATGTACAATTGAAACAATATAATTACAATGAAAATAGTGAAATATATTTTTTTTCGATTCAAAGATTGTGTAAAATTTGTAAATCATCAATTTTGAATTAGTCAATATTGTACAAAAACAGTTTTAGAAAAAGTATTGAATTGTCAAACATATCAAGGGGATAATGCTCATTAGTATTTGTACCCTCTATTTAAAATATCTTTGTTTTAATTCAAATGCAATTATGAATATTCAAATTTTTTAAATAATTCTTTAGAAAAATAAAAGAAAATTGAGTTGAATTAAGGCTTTATTAGATTTAGAAGAAATGAAGAAAATTTTGTTTAAATGAGAAAAAAAAATTTTAACATTTCAAATATCAGCTGATATTTAATTAAAACATTTATACCATCGTGAAGCATCACTTCAACATTTTTTTTATAGATAAAAAAAATTAAATGTGTCTTAATAGATAGACGATTATTAGCCTCTAACATATGATAAGTTTTTCAATAGTGCTTTGTAAGTAGGTTAAAAATAAAAACACAAAATAAATATGGATAGAATTTAAGTATAATCATTAAGAAGTAAATTTTAATAAACGTATTATTTTTCATGTCGCTTGCTCCGAAATTATAAGTTTTCATATGTCTTCTACATCACTCAAAATTAGATAATCATGAGCCAATACGATAGTTTGTTACAAGGGTTTGAACGACATCTTTTTCTTCTGATGAAAATCATATCAAGTTTATTAAAGCGTTTTGTTTTTAAAAATCTAAAAGTAACTTACAAGTTTCTTAGTAATAAAATAAATTGAAATTTCGCAACTATGAATATCGTACTTATTTAGTTTACGGAAATTTCGAAATAGTCAGACAGTAGTAAAAAGCGTAAAAAGTAACATAACATTTTATTGTATTTTTTTACGTCAATGCGATTGCAATTCACAGTACATTTAGTATAATTAATAGAACTATAGGTATTATTAAAGTTACAATTAATCTACAGGTACTCAATGAAGCCTCGTGTTCTAATACTGAAACTATTAAAGATAAATCAAAGAAAAATAGTAAGACTAGTCAACAATCATTTAAGCCCAAAAAGACCAAGAGTGGAACAGTTTCAAAGGTACAAAAAATAAAATTTTAAAAAGTTAAAAGAAGTGATTGTTTAGTGTTACTTGAGATTTTATATTCACAATTTTTGTGATCGTGAAACTAAAAAATTACAATTCAAAGTATAAATAAATATATATTACAAATATATGTATATAAATCTATACAATTTAACTTTTTATTTTAGGTGAAGACTAAGAAAAAATCCGATAAAGTTGAATCTCGCCATGAAAAATTGCATTATGTAATTGAACAAGTAGAAGAAATGAAAAAAAGTGTCGAAAATTTTCAACAATTAGCCTCAACAGCATTCCAGACACTCTTATCTAACTGGCAGCAATTCCAGAGTAATATTAAAATACATTTTTATTCTGCAATTGCAATTATTTCAACTTATTATTTTATAAATGATGGTTTGAAAAAAGTTATCTTATATTATATTGAAAAGAACATTAATCGACTTTTCGATGTTTAGGTACGCGGGCAGCAATACCATCAGCAGTCAAGGCAATCGATTTTGAAAATATCCAAGTACCTCCACCAGTAGGTTTTATTCGATTGGATACTGGAATGGTAAGCCTTCAATATAATTAAGTAGCTCGATTACAATCAATAATTTATTGTTGGTTTGAAAATGGAGAGTTAATCATTAGAAGAATAATGTCAAAAAATTAAATTTGCCACTCTCTAAAATTAAAATAGTGAAAATCTCACTATTTGAGATAGTGACTCCTCAATTCACTATCAAATTAGTGAATCTCTCACTATTTGAGCTAGTGACTCTCGAATTCACTACTAAAATAGTGAAATGAAGTAAACTTCACTGTCAAAATAGTGACATCCCAGATATGCGCCGCTCATAGCGCCATCACATAAGTTTTTATGATTGTTATTATATTGTTATTCTTGTGCTTGTAATCTTTCTGCCAAGTTTTTAGCTATCGCAGCGATAATAAATTAATTGTCTAGCTCAGGTACGTTTATTTTACTATTTTATTCGAATTTTAATTAATTTAAAGTGAGTGACTGTTCGCACACTATTTATATTTTTTAATTTTTTTATGACGATGGATTTAATTGTAATTTCCTGTGAATGAGGGTTATGTTTTTGTTGATATCAATTTTTCAATACTTTTTTGTATTAAATTCATTATTGACTATTAAAAAGCTATTAATCACTCCTGTTAGTTGATTTTTAATTATTTGTTGATAATATTTCTAATACAAATAACTTTTTTGTTTGAAATTTATAAACTGTTATTGGAACATTTGTTTTACTGAATGCAAAATTTTATGAAAATGAAGTAAGTCGACATTTCAAAATTTTTAGAACTTTTTTATTGACAAAATTTTAATTAAAAAATTTAAAAAAAAATTTCACATGTAAAAAACTTAAAAAACTATAAGTGCAATTTTTTAGAAATATCTTTTTAGTTGTAATCTTTTTAATAAAAAAAATCAAAAATTTTTAGACGTCTGCTAACTTCAGTGTCAAAAAATTTTATATGTTTAGTTAAATTTTTACAATGAGTTATTTAATTTCAGTTTTGTTATTTGTAATTAATCTGTTATTTCTTATTCCAGATTGATGTATATTAACAAAACAGAACACATTTATTGAGTTTAATTTAATGGAATATTATTCTTCACTCTCAGTTGATGAACTGAGTTCAAAGCTGCTATCTGTGGTTGATGATCCAGAAATCATCAAAATTTTTAAAGGTAAAAAAACTTTTTTATTATTAAATTAGGAAAAACGTAATACGTAATTGCTGTTAAGTAAATATAGGAACGACTTTGAAACCACCAGATTCACATTGATATTCGAAATTAAAAAACAATTAATAAATAATTGAAAATTATTAATTTTAAAAAATTGTCTCGAAAATGTTTTAATCTTCTAATAGTTCATTTTTTTTTTGTTTTTTAACAAATATAAAATTTGCATTTTTATTATTATTTTAAAAATTAATATTTGCTAGAATTACATTCATAATGTATTAAAAAATAGTTTGAATATTGATCAACAAATTTTAAGATTTTAAATGCAGTATTTTATTAATTTATTTACATGTACACAGAAAAAAAAAATAGTTGATCGAAATAAGATTTATTTGAGCCAAATATATAAGATAGTTGGATATGGCCAAATAAATATTTATTTCTGGTAAATATATGATATATTTGAGCGATTTAGTTGCGTCAAATAAATAGTTTATTCATGGTAAAGATATGGTTTATTTGTGGTAAATAAATCATAGTTGACGACAATAATAAACTTTTAAAATTTATTATAACATTAAAGTTAGCTGTCACTTGATCAATTTTTAACTTTATTTAACAAATAAATTAATTTTAACAAAATTATTTTTTAAAAATTGCATTTTTAATTTTTAAAAATTTTTACATGTAAATTTTTTTCTCTTATTTTTTTTTTGCCATAATTTATTTGTTAACAAATGTTCTACAAATTATTTAATTTCTGCTAAATTATTTTAATCAATTTTTAGAAATTATAATGGCTTTAAAATGAAAAAAAAAAAAATATTTTTTATTCTTTTAGTTGAAGAATGAAATATTTTAGATGGTAAATAATAAAGATAATTAATTATTTATATTTTTTAACTGATTTAATTCAACAAAATTAATGTTTTTCTAGGTTTATAAGTATAAAAAATTTGAAAAATATGCAAAGATTAAACTGTTCGTTATGCAATCAATCAGTTCCTGGAGCATTAAATGGTTTAAGTAGGCATCTAGTTAAAGATCATGTCTTGTCGATTAATCGGGGCATGGGTGATTCAGGGTTCCAGTGTGGTCAAAATGGTTGTCGGCGTCGTTTTAGATTTTTTTATTCATTGAGGAGACATATTGAAAAAAAACATTTGAATAATGTGGATGATAACGATGAAGCTGGAAATGAGGATATTGAAGTTGATAATAATATTCGAGAACAACAATTCGGTGATCTTGAAGTGAACTATGAAGCTGTACATGACGAGGAAAATGAACAAGACAGTGATGGAGAATCAGTAGCTGGTGATGTAGACAATAATGACATGGACTTTGACTTGAAAAAATATGTGATTCGAATGATTGCCAGATTTCAATGCAAGCCTTCAATGACCTCAAGTTTATTAACTGAAGTTGTAGATGAATGTGAACAACTTCTGGTAAACACATGTAATTTTCTAAAGCATAAAGTTGAGCGATTTTTTGATGTGCAAGAATTGCTAGATGATAATGAAGCACAGAATGTCTTAAAAGCTTTCGAATTTGACGGCCCTTTCGATGGATTAAAAACATCAGAACAACAAATTGATACCTTAAAGCAGTACTTTAGTTACATAGAACCTATAGAAATTCCTTTAGGGTACAGACCTGATAGTGTACTTGATCGAAAAACCAGTACATATAAACCAAAAATGGTAATGGAAACTTGTCAATACGTACCTATTATTAGTACTTTAACTTTGGTAATGTCAAGTCCAGAAGTTCGAGAGGCGGTTCATGCAGAACAGAGGTCACCAGATGGTACTTTAGCTTCATTTTTAGATGGAGAGCATGCTCAAGTACATCCTCTATTTTTACAATACCCAAATGCATTAAGATTACAAATATATTATGACGAATTGGAAACAGTAAATCCTCTGGGGTCAAAAACAGGTGTCCACAAATTAGGAGTATTTTATTACACGATTCAAAATTTACCGCCTCATATAAATTCAGAACTGAGTTCAATACACGTTCTCGTTATGTGTTCAGATGCTGATGTAAAAAAATATGGATTTAAAAAAATTCTTGCTCCATTTTTAGAAGATTTAAAAAAATTAGAAAGTGATGATGGCGTTGTAATCGAAACTGATGAGGGTGATTATGTGCTTCGTGCATCCATAGCAGCATTTTGTGGAGATGGACTAGCGGTACACGATGTTTTCAACTTTCTTTCTCCATCGGCTAACTATTTTTGTCGAATGTGTATGTATTCTAGGAATGATTTACATTCGGGAAATTCGCAACCAGGTCAGGAAAGAACAAAAGCTCTCTATGATCAACATTTGGCTCATCTTAAGCAAACTAACTTTTCACCTGAATCAAAAACAGCTACTGGGATCCGGGGAGAATGCTGTTTAAATGATTCTAAATATTTTCACATCACTTCAAATAAAATTTTTGATCCAATGCATAATTTTTTGTGTGGAATATGTCCGATGATACTGAAACTGGTACTCCACGAATATGTTGTGATACAAAAAAAATTTACTTGTGAGGATTTTAATGGGAAAGTAACATCTTTTCAATATGGTTATGTAGAAATGACGAACAAACCTTCTGCAAATTTCACTGATTCAATGCTCCGTAAAAATGATCATACATTAAGCCAAAAAGCAATGCAGATTTGGTGTCTGATTCGAGCTTTTCCTTTTTTGATTTCAAATGAAGTTCCTATCGGTGATCCACATATGGCACTTGTAATAAATTTATTGCAAATAATGGAAATTATTTTTGCTCCACGTGTTAATGAAAATTATTTGATACGTTTAAGAAATCTTAACAGGGATTTTAATGTTAAATTTCGCGCTCTTTTTTCGAATGTGAATCCAATTAATAAATTTCACCATTTATATCATTATGAAGAATTTATTCGGTGGGCTGGTCCTGCAGTTAATTACTGGTGCATGAGATATGAAGCTAAGCATGGTGGAGTCAAAGCTCGTGGTCAAGTCGTACACAACCATAAAAATTTGCCTAAAACTCTGATACGTTTATGTCAATCTGAACAAAGTGCTAAATGGGGAGGAAAAGATGTTAAATTGAATCGAATGATGACTACAAATGGACGAACTGTATTTGTGGAAGACACTGCCAGTAAAGAGGCTCTGTATGACTTTGATTATATTGATACTGATCGAGTGTTTCGTTGTAATTCTGCTAAAGTAAATGGAGTAGAATTTAGAGTAGGTTTATATGTATGCTTAGAAGCTTCACACCTTCGAGATGATAACTTACCTTCATTCGGATGCATAAAAGAAATTATTATTTTGAGGAATACTGATGTTTATTTATTTATTTCAAAATATACGACAACAGAGTTTGATGAAGCAGTCAATGCATATCACATTACTCACAATGATAATGACGCAGATGAAATTTTTATAAAAACCTCTATACTTGCTCATTTCAAGCCAATCTGTTGTTGGACTAAACAAAGTTCAGATAACTTGTACATCAGTCTTCGACATATTATTCTATGACAATTCATTCAGAATAACTTACTGCTGATTTGGGGTGAGATATACTAAAAGATCCACCAAATACTCTTTATTGAATATTACTTTGTTACTCCTTCTTCAAAATAATTCGTTCAGGCTTAATTTTTCAACTGAAATATGAGTTTTTTCTTTCCTTGTAAATGTTGCTTTATTCTTCAATACTCAGAGTTTTCGAACATCCATGTTATGTGCTTGAGTACTTCAATTTTCAAAAATTTAACTAATTTTTTATACAAATTTTCAAACACTCTCCTTTGCGCAATTTTAGATTTTAAAACTAGATGATTGACTTTTGAAGAGTTAAAACTTCAAAAACTATCCATAATATATTTAAACTAAATATAAAAATAATGTTTTTTTTTTAACAATTAATCCTGATTTTCATTATTATGAAATAAACTTGATTTATATTAAAAAAAATTATTTTACACTGAAAGAAAAGTTAACTTGATTCGAGAGAAAAATTCTTGAATCAAGAAAATAATTTTGAAGAGGGTAATTGTCTTTAATCAAGACGAAAAATCCTTGAATCAAGTAAAATTTTCTTAAATCAAGAAAAATTTATTAGTTCAGAATTTTTCTACTCAAATTAAGAAGATTAAGTTCTTCAAAATTATATACTTGATTCAATAACATTTTTTTTTCTGTGTATAAACGTATGCATTGCAACAATTCTTTTATAAACAAACAATGCAATAGACGTATTTGCTTAAAAATGCCATTTTCTATCTTACGGTCTTGTTCGTGCAAATAAAAATATTCAGTATATTTTTTTTATCACTACGAATGTGTTTTAATTCTTAAAATTAATAATATTAAAAATTTTAGATGAAGATATCGATGGTGCGGCATTTCTTCAGCTAACAAATCAAGATTTGTCTCAATTAAAGATAAAAATGGGACCAAAAAAAAAGTTATTAGCTTTAATTGATTCATTGAATCAAGAAAAAATAACAGGATCTTACATTATTGACTCAAGTGGAGTACTGGAAAAACAGACACAAAATGAGACTGTTTGTTCAACTCCTCCGATAAATGTAAGTTTGTCAAGAGCATCAACGTCCGGCGTAACATCATCACTATCCAGTCCTAAACTTACTCCAACTTCATGTACACTTTCAACAAGTGTCGTATCGTCAAATACTTTTTCAGTAAATATTTTATTGTTCGCAAATTTATTAAATTTTTTTATAAAAAAATTAATGTTTACCCTTATTATATTTACAGAGATATGGTACCGTTGAAAATACATTAAAAGAGCATCAACAAGGAAAAGAAATTCTATCAGCCATTCGTGGAACATGCAGTGAAGGAGATCGAAAATGTTTTGTTCGAATCCTAGTCGGTGAACTAGTCAAGACTCACAACGATAGTTGGTAAAATATTAATTTTCCATTATCAATCAAACTAAAAACATAAAGGTTATTTGAGAATTTCTTTCTTAAAAAAATTTTTGTTTTTTCATGTTAAATTAGCTACCCTCCAAAAGAAGCAAAAATCGCTTTGGCCAAAGCGATCATTAAAGAATTCCCAAAACTTAAAGATAAGAAGCAACCTAATGGCTACGTAAGTAAAAAAATATTGCTTTAAATTGAAATTCTTGGCATTTATAAAACTGTGATAACTTTAAGAAGTTTATACATCTTACTTGTTTCGGCTCGAATAGTTTTATGAGGTTGGAATGACACTATTTAGACTGACAGACGACATCAAAAGATCTGTTTAGCCTTAAAAAATAACGGTTGTCAAGTTTTTTGATATCTATCTCAATTTACAAGTCAGCTATAAGTTTTTCATTCTACAAACACTTCATGTGAGCCTAGGATTTTCTCTCGAGAAATTATTTATATTAAATGAAAAACTGTCTGAGATCAATGTTATTTTTAGCCTATAGTATGAAAATGAAACAATCAATTACTTGTTTTATTTTAGTAAACGATAATTTTTCAAGATATTCTCAAAAAAGTATGACAAAAAACGATTAAAAAAAAAAATTTTTTTGTTAATTTCACAAAATATGTGCATTGAAAAAATTCAATAAATTGTGTCCTTGTCTATAATTAAATTAAAATTTTGAGAAAAAGCAATTGGTTTTTATTTTTATTAAAACAGTCGGTCTTGGATTAACGTTAATGATTTATATTTACTATAAAATGAACAATATTAAATTGTTAGCTCTTTATTATTTCCAGGAACACTATTTTAATCCAAAATCTGGTAATGATCGGGGTTTTATTGAGAACCGTCTTTTGACAATCAGGAAATTACTCAGCCCGACAAAAAAAAAATATGCTGTAAAAACAAACAAACAGCTACATGAATCATCGAAATCCAATTTAACCAAAGGAATACATGTTACTGATGATAATATGGAACGAATGGTATGTCTAAATAAATTTTTCCTAAGAATCATTGTAATGTAGGGCATATGTTATACTACTATTAAATTTATTGATAACTACATCTATATCATCATTAATATCTATCTTATATCTTTCAGCAAAAATATCACAAAATATGTTTGGATCAAATTTGTTAAAGTTTCTTTTTTCTATCACTCCCAGATTTTTATTTTGTTCAATATTTAAATCTGAATTTATAACAATAATGTTGTGATCAGACACCCTGGGCGTAGACAAAACATCAATATACAACTCCACATTTGAAAACACTAGGTCTATTATTGTGTCTGATGTCAATGTTGATCTCGTCGGCACTTTGACAAGTTGCTTGAGTCCCAGCAAGGCACATTCATTGACAAAATTACGAGCATAACGATCCTTGTCACTGCCAACATCTAAATTAAAATCGCCTACTGTTATAAGTTTTCCCTTATCAACATAGTTTTCTAATAACTCAACCATATTTTCTTTAAACTCACTCACACGATTTTTTGGTGATCTATAAACATTTACAATGACAAAACCATCACTCCCGCCTATTTGAACCACATTAATCCAAGTTTTATCACTGATTTCAGTACTATTCAGCAATATCTTAAATTTATAATTTTTATTAATATACGTAATAACACCACCGGTTCGATTATTTCTCGTATTCGTCCGCACATGACTATAGTTTTTAAATTCAATTTCATGGTCAAATACGTCTGGACCTATGTGTGTTTCTGTCAAACAAATTACATCAGGCTTAACAGTGAATAACCATTTCTCAAAAATGTCTTTGTTCCTAATTAAACCGTTGATATTTAATGCCACTATTTTAAATGACCTTTTACTATTTTTTATAAGATCCTTGTTATGCAATAATTGTTAGTATTTATAATTTATATTTTTTTGTGCTCTGTTTATTGCCCTTTTATAACATTCACATTCTATATCATTTGCACAGTGATCAGTTTTTATTCCTTCTAACTTGAAATCAATCACCATTTTTACACAATTTATACATTTTTTAACTTCCTCTTGGCAATCTTTCTCCAAATGATTTCCCGAACATTTACGACATTTCTGTTCACTCTTACAGTCTTTAGCAAAATGATTAAATCCCCAACATTTGTAGCACCGAAGGACACTGACACAATCAAATACTCGGCATAAATTCCAATCGAGTTTAATTTTTATTTTTTCCAGTAAATACTTGTGAGTATCTGGATCCACCTCCATGATAATAATTCCATTTTTATTTTTTCCCATAAATTTTTTCTTTATTGTCATTTTAGTTGACAAGTTTGTTACTATTCCATTTTGTTTTTTTATCATATCGATAATATCCTTTTCTTCATTATTTTCCATTGTATCACTATCAATATCAATAATCTTTACTTTTGGTAATTTTTTATCCATAACTTTAATATTATAATTTTGACCCATATTTTTTTTCAGTTCACTAGCCAATTTTTCACGATCTTCTTTCCCAGTGCAACCAATTACTAATTTTCCTGTTTGGGTTTTTTTCAATTTGTCGACTCCAACGCCCAATTTACCGATTTTGACTTTCCTTTTAACTTCAGTGAATGTCAGTTCACTATCTTGTTTCTCTTTAGGCTCAATTACAACTGTCTCAGTTTTTGATCCTTTAGCTCTGTCAGCATAGGTAGCAAGTTTTTTAAAACTTTTAACTTCTTCTGTCTTACAATCATTACTTCCGCCAATTACATTTTGCACTTCCTCTCTCACTATTTCCCGAACCGTTTTCATTGAGTCATCTTTAATATCTAAGAATATCTGCATTGCAATGTTTTTGATTTCATATCTGAAGTCTTCTACATTTACACCAATTTCCTGGACTCTATCAATCAACGTATCCACTTTATCAGCAATGTCACTAACATCAATTTCCTCATCATACCTTTTCCTCTTTTTTCTTGTTACCGATGAAACAGAAGATGCAACACTGACGTTATCTGATATTTCATGTCCTACACATTCAATTTGCTCACCACGTTCATTTGTGTATTTGTGATTTTTTAACAAACAAGCTTTATGGAAAAGCTGGCCACATCCGCTACACTGATTTGCAGATCTTAAATTAGTTTGCTTACAGTGAGCACATGTGTGCCTCGTAGGTGTAACTTGTTTGGCTCCCTCTACATCCATTTTTTCTCACTAACTTTTGCCAACTAGGTTGGTATTTAGGAAATCACTAGAAAAAACGCCTAAAGCGCCTCTATGTTGAAAATTTGAAACTGTTTATTCCACTAGCAAGTACAGAATGTGTTCACTGAGGCTAACCATAAATTTGTAAACACAAACACTTAATTGTTTGATACTAAATTAATAACACCACTCATTATAATAATTTATATATCAGAATTTACAGAAAATTTTTCCACACATTTTGATACATACCACGATTTCACACACTTACTGTAAACTATTTTAATATTATATTCTTACGGAGCACAAAAAAGTACGTCCGTACCAAATAATAATAATAATAATAATAATAATAATAATAATAATAATAATAATAATAATAATAATAATAATAATAATAATAATAATAATAATAATAATAATAATAATAATAATAATAATAATAATAATAATAATAATAATAATAATAATAATAATAATAATAATAATAATAATAACACGTCCTGCAGGGCGTGTAAACAACATCCGGAGACGCTATTAATAAAAATAATAATTAAAATTAATTAGTTATCGCAAAAATTTTATTTATCAACCGATTAATTCAACAATTGTATCTAGAACTTAAATAAAAAAAAAATATCGAAGCTTCGGTGTTTCAATTATTCCAAAACCAATTGGTGTACGTTTGTTTTAATCCAATTATCTGATGAATGCTTAGGTATGTCTAATTCTGAATTTTGGGCATACTACCTAAAATGAATGATTTGACCGCTTTTGGGACGGAGAAATGCGTATTGTCAACACGCATGTGCATTTAAAGTCAAAAAGATTCATTATTTAAAAATATATACGCTAATACAATAACCTTTCAATATTAATTTCCTGACCTTTCAAATTTAGTTTATTTCAAGGGATTTTTAACTAATTCAAATTTCGTGTCATACTCATTAAAAAAAAAGTGTATTATAGTTTTAATTACGTTTGTTTTTTTAATTATTTTTTCACAAATTTAGAAAACATTTTTTTCCACAAGAAAATTATCGTAAAAAAATTTTTATTACTTCAGCTGAGAAGTAAAAGTGTTGAAAATTTTCAACAAATTAATTTTTTATTACATTGGTTTTTTTTCTGAATTATTTTTTTCTCTTAGTGAACTGATTTACTTAATTGCCCACGCCAAATGCTTATCATATTAAATTTATGATACTGAAACTGACATACATTTGATAATTTTTAGGATTCGCTTATAATAAACTGTAACAAAAAAAAAATTCCACTTGCAAACCATTTAAAAATCTATGAGTGCAAAATAAAAAATTGAATTATATAATAGTTTGTATGTTATAACTTATAATTATTTCATTTTTAGCTGTAGGAAGACATACCACTAAAATGGATTTGAGAAGTGAATTAATTGAATGGCTGAAGAAAAATCGAGATGCTGAATTCAATACCCTTCGTTTTACAAATATTATATCTCAGCCTGAAGTTCAGAAAGATTTGCATCTCTATATTGAAGCTTTGAGGAAAAAAAAATTAATTTTATATTAATCGAGTGTTACGATTTTAAATAATATAATTTATGCTTGAAAACTATAATTTTTAAGATGAACGAAAATTAACAAAGCGAATTTAGATTTGACTAATTTTACATAAATATATTAATTATTTGTTTTTTTGTTAGTTGTACATATTTCATAAATTAATAATATAAAATAATAAATACAACGATCATGTGTGCTATTAAAGAATTTCTTTCGTTTTATAAATAAATAAATATACTTAAATTGTGAAATAATTATTATTAAAATTATCTTTCGAGAGCCGCTGCAAAATCAAGTGCAAGTGCGTCATTAATACAAAAATGATTATGCATCTGTTCTCGCTAAAACTGCAAGAAATAAGAAATTCCTGAAATGCTAAAAAAAAAATAATAATTCAATAAAGTAACTAATTAAAAATCTATTCGATAAAACTTATTTTCTGAATTTTATGTAACAACTTTTCAAGCCAATGGCTTCTTCTTTCAATGATACTCTCATCGCGGTTATCGCAACAATCTTTGAAGAAAAAAGTATATAAATATTATTTATTTCTTTTCAGTTTTTCTATATTGTAAGATCTTTTTATTACCTGTATATAAATATCATGTGAAGCGATCAAAGTATTGTTTAAAACATCAACGTTGCCACAATTGTCAACAAATTTCGCTGGCACCGTCAAATCTCCAACATTATTTAAATCATTTTTAATCGTAGCATTTATTGCCTCGCGATATCAGAGAGAAATATCACGAATTTGAAAAAAAATTTCTCGTACTAATTCTACAAATGGATTCTTCAAGTCAATCATATTTATCTTAAAAATCTCCAACATATCATCTATTTGTTCACGCAAAACAACTTCGCTGTACATCTGCTTTGCGCACATATTCGTCAAACTTTCGTTGAATTCTTGAGTTTTCGCTACTTTTATTAATTATTAATTATTAATTATTAATTATTAACTATTATTTACTTACCGCCATTGAATAATTTTTATTTTTTGTTTATACCAGTTTTTAACAAATTAGGATGAAGAATAAGTATTTTTTTATTAGTATTTTACTTAATTATTCAGAATAGACATTGGTTTAAGGTGTGAAAAAATTTTTTTATATTTATAACTATTTTTATTATTTTTATCACTTGTTTTGTTAAAAGATTAGAACTTTGGCAATTTTCCATGCACCAAAAAAATAAAAAAGAAATTTATTTAACAGTTTTGTTTTAAATTTTTATAGAAAAAAAAAAAAAGATAGAACCTTTATAATTACCAAGTTTTTTTTATTTATACTATTAAACCAGAACTGATGTAACATTATTTAATTTTGCTAATACAAAATAAAGTTTTTCAAATTATAAACTAAATTCTTTAACTTTATTGGAAAATATCTATTCTTTGGAAACTTAAGAAGATAGTTTGTCAAGTTTATTTAAATCTATATCTATAAGGATTTTACTCATAAATGTAAAAATCTTTATATAGTCTTTATAAATATGTTTCAAAATTTAATAATCCCATCGAGTTACATTAATTAACCTCAAGGCCGCCTTAGGTATAGCTTATTTAATTAAGCTTTCTAGACATAAGTCCTTAATCACTATAAATTTATATCAGTTAGCTCATTAGTGTTACTCATAAAATTAGTTTTACCAATACGATCACATGGCTAATACTTCTGATTTAATAAATCTAATAATAATTAATTATTTAACTTAAAATAAACGTTGAGATCACAAGAATAATAATAAGAAAATGATGTGACTAAGTTTTAAACAACTGTAACAATGAAAAGATTTTTTAAATCAAAATAAAATAATTATAATGCAAGTTTTTTTTTTTTAAGTTTTAGAAACATTTACCTTGCAATAAGTAACTTGACAGTAATTAGAAAAGGAAAATTAAAGTTTTTGTACATTCAAAAACTTTTTAAAATAAGTTTATAAAAGTTAAGATTTTTTAAATCAAAATAAAATAATTATAATGCAAGTTTTTTTTTTTTAAGTTTTAGAAACATTTACCTTGCAATAAGTAACTTCACAGTAATTAGAAAAGGAAAATTAAAGTTTTTGTATATTTAAAAACTTTTTAAAATAAGTTTCAAGTTTAAAATAAGTTTAAAAAAGTTAAATAATTTATAGATCTAATTTTTTACCCCAAATTGGCGTAACATTCCAAAATATCTAATACTGAAGGCCGATTTTGGCAATCATAAGAAAAACATTTGGAAAGAACAGATCTCAAATATTGTGGAATACAGCTTAAATCAGGTATTTTTTTCTGCCGTAGTATCATTTTTAATCCATCTTCGCTGTTTGTATCACCCCAAATAGTTTTTTCTGAGTATAATTCCACGAGGGTACAACCTAAAGCCCAAACATCAGAATAAACATTCGCTTCTGAATTTTCCAATAATAATTCAGGAGCCATGTACAATGGAGTTCCTCGAACAAATCTGGTACGGCCAATAGTGCTTTTCAACGAGAAAGTCATTTTCTTAAATTTGCTCAACCCCAAGTCACAGATTTTTACAAATCTACTGGTATCAACAAGGATATTAGCTGGTTTGATATCCCCATGAGTAATAGGGTTCTCTTTGGAATTTAAGCCCTGGCGGTTTTGTGGTCACGGTGAAAATACTATGGAAAGTCGGTAGTTCCCTCTATGGTCAACAGTGAGATCTTAGTATTACAGTAGTGATTTCACGGTGAAACATTGGTGACTTTGTTTCATTTCACTACTGTCAAAATATGGTATATATCAGATCATTAGACCTTGGTAAAATGGTTCAAACGACATTTTTATATGGCAACTATGGAGTGAAACCATTGTAAAAAGTTCATTAATGTATAGTTATTTGACAGTCAAAGCACTTTTGTTACACAGTAAAATAGGAGTGAATCCAAAGTCGTTTCACCGTCGTTTTACTGTCGTTTCACCGTCGTTTTGCTGTCGTTTCATCGTCGTGTCACTGTCGATTTACCGTCGTTTCACGTTCCTTCCTTTGTCAAATAACGCTCCTTTGACCGTCTTTGAATAACTTACTCATAAAAAATCCCATTTGAAAATGCTAAAATTCTCCAAAATGAAAAATTTAGTATTTTTAGGACAATAATAATTTTAAGTAATATTTACGGTTTTTTTTTTAATTTATTAATTAATAACTCCTTGATACACTACTAAGCCTGTATAGCCCGGCGTGAGTTATGAGTACCGATGTTCACTGAAAATTAAATTTCAGCTCACACCGGGATTCGAACTCACGCCTCACCAGTCCCAAGCAAGCATGACAAGCGTTGTACCGCTTAGCCATGGGACTGTCTACTAAATGGTAGCGAGTTTGAATGAATATTTTTAGACAGGGGCAGGTAGTTTTTAATTAAAAGTTGATGAAATTTTTTTTTATATTTATACCATTATAATTAAGGACAATTTTCATTGTATCTTGAAATATCCTGATTCTGTAAAAAAACATATAATTAAAATTTTTTATTTCATAAGCTTTCCTTCATTTGTGTTTGTCATATACATATTGATGTAATTATTAAATTTATTAACTGTCGAATAGTGTTCAAAAATAAATATTTTTTAATCGAGCGAAAAAATATTAATTTGTAAATGAAATGTTTTAAAGCGTTTATTTTAAAAATTTTTTTATTCTGAAAATTAACTACAAATAACTAAATTTAATGTGAAATATCAATAGAGTTCAGCACTCTACACTGTTTATAAAATAATAATTGAACAACATTTACATCATTTGTCCGGAAGAAAACGAACGAGTATATACAGTGAAAAGAAGGTGATTTTACCGTGAGTTGACGGTCGAACGATCGTCGAACCGTAGTAGGTCCACAGTGATATCACTATGAGTTTATGAGGTGTTCACTTTGAAAAAATCATTTTTCCGCAGTAGAAGCATGCGATACTGACAAAATAAATGCTAAGGTTCCACGAATTACGAACGGTCTTTTCATCATAGAACTGCTGATAAGTCAACATTTATTTACCATCTGTAGTTAGTGACGCAACAGAACGAATATACTGTTTTTCGACAGTGATTTCACCCTACTACAACCCTAACTAGATAGTGAAATAGCCGTCACGTGAAACGACCGTGAATCGACCATCTTTTCACTATGGAGTCACCGCGGATTTACCGTAAGCATGAAACCGTCAGGGTAGTAACTGATTCCTTGACAAAGCTGTTGTCCAATCTTATGCTTTTCTTTTAATGTCAAATTGATTTTTTCTTCAAACATGTCATTTAGAGAAGTACTTTCACATAACTCCATAATTAAATGTATCCTATCTCTCTCTGTACAATAAGCCATCAATTGAATAAAGTTCGGATGCCTGACAACTTCCAAAATTTTTATTTCACGACATGCTAACTTTAAATTTGATTCAGATAAAATAATAGTCTTCACAGCAACATCAGTTCCATTCCAACGGCCTTTTTTAACTTTTCCTTGTGCACCAGCTCCTAACAATTCTTTAAAAATAATAAGCTTTTCTTTCTTGATTGATGTAATCGTAGAGTTTTGAGCTTTTTTCAAAATACACAGAGCGTTGTCCATCAGAGTCGATTTCGACGAATTCTCGTCATCATTATATTTAAAGTTTCCTGAAGAAATTTCTTGATCCATCGATTGGCATTTAATAACACATCTGTAAGTACTACTAACATCAATACCTGATATCCAGTACCTGAACTGACCCTGTTCAAATAACTTTTCATCTTTGTACCACACAAATACAAACTTGCAACGATCCTTACAGTTGGTTATGACACCAACTCCGAGTTTATTCTCACAATAGCCATTAAGTTCATCAACATCATGGATGATGTAATGATTATTATTCGAATCTTCTTCATCTTCAATAATATCTGCTGCCGGAAACAGAAATTCACGCTGAAGATTCTCAGGATCGGTATAGATGTTCAGTAGTATTTTCCCCCCAGTAGAGATTTCTGCAACTCGAAAGCCGTTCTTAAAAGGATCAAACTCATCAATAGTAAGACGGTATAAGTCGTCATATCTCATTTGATAGAGATCCTCTTTTTGCACACATGCAATAGATTTGTCTTTCGTATACTTTGAAACAGAAATGCATTTATAGTAAATATTTATATTGTTATTAACTTTCGCCGAAGTAGTTGATAAGTTAATCTTGTCTTTCAACATATGATGATGTTTTTGCTTGGGTTCAATATTGTCATAACTGTCAGTTATTGAATCATGTAAAGTCAACGGAAGCTTACTTGGAAAGGAAGCTTACCCTTTGAGGGTTCTGATATATCTTGAACCATTGAAGGTTCGTTTTTCAAAAATGTCAAAAGGTAAAAAACGAATCTTTTTGTCTCTTGGTCCATTCCGTTTTTAAAGTTAGAAATGACAGATCCATTGAAATGGCCCAGTAAAACTTTGTATTTATCAAATGACAAATCAGAATTTTTTTCGAACTCTTGTGTTGCCAATACTGTGATATCCTCGACCGTGTAATTTTTACCAACTTCTAAAGAGAGTTGCTTAACACCACCTAATGGTTTTAGAACTTGCTTGAAAATTCCATCTTGGTTGCGCAGCCAGCCAACCAAAATTTTTCGGTAAGAAATTAATTCTTGTTTCTTACTTGATGTTCCTTGTGGTGTAGAAGTGGATGCGGATGTAGAATAACCAGGTTTTGTCATAAACTGTAACATGGAAATGTATGGATTATTTAAAATTGTATTCTAAGAACAAAAATTATCAACAATAAAATTGTAATTACTTTAGATTTAGAGCTTCCCAAAATTTGCTGGTCATACGCAGGCAGCTTGCTCAGCATTTCTTCAACCAGTTTCCTTTTTTTACTAATGATCGGATTCTTGATTTCTACAATTGAAATAAAATTAAATAGTGCAAAGACCTTTAAAATCTGTATATATTTCATATAAAAACTCTAAATTTTATTGTGATATTTACATGAATTAATGTGTAAATTGTAATACTCAATAATTTTATCAAGTATAAGTTCATCAAACTCAATACTGACGCCAAATGAGTGACCATCTTTAATATAGGTTAAGCCCACTGCACTGGGGAAATATTGCTTCAAAACACTCAGCTTTAGATTTCCCCCAGTTGTCAATGGCAATAAAATTTCATCGCAGTTGTAGTGAATTTTGACAAAAGCCATATTTATTTCAACCAACGGTAATTAACTGACCAATTTCAATTATATATTTTTCAACTATCCGCAAGCGAAATAATTTTAGAACAGTTTCCTTGCACGACCTACAGGAAAAGAGATAGTTACTAGTAAAAAAATATGTTAGAAAAGTAAAAAATACAAAAATAGAAGAAACATTTAGCGCCACCTTTAAATTATTGAGATAGACATACTAAGTATGTCAAGGGAGTTGAAAAAGTCAGTGCTACTATCATACGTAATAACATGTCACTACCGGGCTTCCGTACATTTTTCTCTTGTATATAAGTAGATGATGTGTACTCCATTATACAAGTCATATAAAACTACGATAAAAATATTAATTTATTGTTTTTTAAATTGTAATAATTATTCAGTGATTTAAATTAAAAATATTTGTGCAATCAATATTTTTATTTTAATTATTTAAATGAAATTATTTATTTTAATAATAATTTCTTTTTATTGCCCGTGAAATATTTATCAGTTTTAAAATAAATGTCAATAATTTATAAATTATAACAATAAATATAAATAATAATAATAATTATTATAATAATAATAATAAAAATAAATAATAACAATTAACTATAAATTGTTAAAAAATATAAATGTTTCAATTTTTATAAGAACCATTGGATTAAAATAAAAAAATACAGGATGTTAAATTACAATTACATTTGTGAGTAATATATAATTTATTAATTCAAAAAATTTCGTATTCCTATAAATATTT